TATATATATATATATGATGTCTTGCGTGATGCAATATCCCAATTCTCTCTTAGCTTAACTATATATATATGTATATATTTATAAGTGTATATATATAGGTGTGGTTTTAATGGGCGTACTCCAATATTTACTCATTAATGGTTATTATTATTTTAACGGTAAGATATTGATCTTACAATTATAATAAATTAGATAGTTGGTCAAAAAAATTTATAACAATTAATGAGATTAGATTCCAATCACGCAACATCATCAAATTTTTATCTTTAATAATAATTATTAATTAAAATATAACCATTAAAAATTCGTCCATATATATTAGAGAGTGTGTCTTAGAGATAGATCATTTTGTTAATTTCCATTAAAAAGGAAAAGAAAAAATTTCATGACGTTGTTAATTATATCCTATCTTTATAGCCAAAATTCAAGATAAAAAAAAAAAGAAAAAAAACTATAGCTAGAAATAGGCTTTGATCTGCTTTATTTTTTGTAATTAGTTCAATATCATCTAGTGATGATCGTGGCACTATTTTGATCCATATCTTCACAGAACAACGTTAGGTTCAAAATATGTGATTCTTTTACGTGTGTGTGTAAATTATAGAGTTCTGCGTGCTATGGTTAATTTCATTAGGCAATGCAATTTTCAGGATTTTTAAAGCAAAAGATCATTTGACTTGGGGTTGGGGACTGAAACATTTATAACATTGTAATTTTTAATTTCCTGAACTCTTTTTTGTTTGTTTTTTTTTTCCTTTTTCCTTTGTTTTCCCCGTAAAGCTCCTCCATCTTGAATTGCCTTGTCCAAACTAAACTTTTCCAATGTAAAGCACTTGTATTAAGATTGTCCTAATTTGTTTTACAGAGATTTACAATATGAAGTCATGATCTCTCTTCTTTTTTTTTTTTTTTTTTTTTTTTTTTTTAGCAAACAAAAAAACAAAGATCATGATTTCATATTGTAAAGCTCCCTAGAACTGTAAAACAAATTAGGATGATCTGAATATGAAGTCATGATCATCTGAACACATGAAAATGTAGACAGATACAAGAGAGAAATATTCCTAGAAATAAACGTGTATATGAACTAACATGTATAAATTATTATATACACACACATCGATACACATGACACATATACATATATATATATACATATCAAAAATAAATCTGAGTTTCACATCATTTAAATATAATATTAAACACTAATTTATAAAAACGTTGAGTCATTCTACTTAATTACAAAGACGGAAACTCAAATTCTTAAAAAATCCAATTTTCATGAAAACAATTTATATATGTAGAGGTGCATGATACCTCTGCGAAATAACACATGTTTCTAACTTTTCATGGATGTCGGATATTTTTATGATTTTTTCTTCTTGCAAGTTTTTGGTCGGGAGATAACCTTACATCTCACGCAACTTCTTGGTCATTGATACAATTATTTTCCTTATAATAACAGACCTCAGACTGGTGTCTTTTGAACAGACCATCATTTCATGTAAATTCAACCACATTTATCACCTCCTTTACCAGATTAATGACACCTGCACTACCTAATCCCGATATGATTTTGATGCCGTTCATTTGGTAAGATTACAACCTCAATATTCTTTAGTTCTTTTTCACTAGGAAAAGGGCAAAATATTGGTACAATTTCCTTCACAAGAAAATATTGTTCCATATCAATAGTCAATATATTAAGAAAAACAATTACCTCATCATTTTGAAATATTGTGTCTCCCATGCACTTATATAAAACCCACCATTTGTCTTTGCAAATTGAACTTTGGAAATTAAATACAAATCTCAAATTCAGTTTTCATCAGAAAATATTATAATGGGTAGGTCCCCTTGTTGTGATGAGAAATCTGGCTTGAAGAAAGGGCCATGGACGCCTGAGGAAGACAAGAAGCTAATTGACTATATTGCCACTAATGGCCATGGATGTTGGAGATCTCTCCCCAAGCTTGCGGGGTTGAATAGATGTGGAAAGAGTTGCAGGTTAAGATGGACAAATTACCTTAGACCCGATATTAAGAGAGGGAAGTTCTCTGAAGAGGAAGAGAGAATCATCATCAACCTTCATTCGGTTCTCGGAAACAAGTGAGTCGTTTTATTTCATTTTCTACTTTCTTTCTAAAGATTGTTTATTCAGAAATACTGAAAATATATATAGGACGAGTTATTTAGCAAATGCCAACTTAATTGGGATATGTTAAATTTCATTAATATCACTTTCTATCTATTTTCATTAAAAAAAAAATTATTGGAAAGATTTATGTTGCTAATCCTCTCTAAGATGTTTCGTGAATTTTTTAACTTAAATGATAAGACTAATCCATGATTTGGAGAAGGAAGAAACAAATGTGAGTTAATTATGAAAATATCGATCGATTATGAGATTATGGATAGCTACTGCTCCTGAGAATTTGTCACTGTTTTGAATAATTCAAAGCTAAAAATTGATTAGAATTAACAATTAAGTCTGACTAATACTTTTACAATGATCATGAAGTTTTAGATTTTGCAGTACTTTAATGATGCAACTTTATTAATTGTTTGCAGGTGGTCAAAGATTGCAACCCATCTTCCAGGAAGAACAGACAATGAGATAAAGAACTTCTGGAACACTTATCTTAGGAAGAAGCTTCTCCAAATGGGTATTGATCCAAACACTCACAAACCAAGGACTGATCTGAATCAACTACTTAATCTTTCTCAGTTTCTTAGTTCCCCACACTTCATGATGAACAACTTAAATAGTATTAATACCACTAGTAATATTGCTCCTTGGGAAAATGCCCTCAAGTTACAGGCAGAAGTAGCCGATCAAATGGTCAAAATTCAGCTTTTCCAAAATCTCTTCCAGCTTATGAATCTTAATCTTTCTCAGTTTCTTAGTTCACCACACTTCATGATGAACAACTTAAATAGTATTAATACCACGAGTAATATTGCTCCTTGGGAAAATGCCCTCAAGTTACAGGCAGAAGTAGCTGATCAAATGGTCAAAATTCAGCTTTTCCAAAATCTCTTCCAGCTTATGA